CTCCTATGCTGCTCCATGCGCCGACGCCTAACAGCGAACAGTTTTTAAAACTCATGCGGGCGAAAGGCGTACTGTCCACGTCTAAGGATCCTCACAACAAAGACGCCGAAATGAACGCATACATTTCGGCGTTCGATGAGGAATTGTTTCAGGACGTGTTGCGATTGTATAAATTAGGGGTTAGTTTTTACAAACATGTCCGCGATTGAATTTTGCACTTTTCCAGAAGGAATACCCCAAAACGAATGGCTGTTGGAGATTCAACTTCACCGCAATGCGTGCTCAGCCGGAGGCAACGCGAGTTCTGCTGAAAGCCTACGTGGACCAATTCGATACGACGCTCTCGCCTAAAGCCCCGACAATGACTAACTCCGACTTCGCAAAGATTCGTTTTTCAGCATGACAATCGGCCGATTATGACGTTCATGATTGTCATGTTACGTGTTTATGAAGGCCCGCAATCTTATTCATTCCAAAATAACACTTTAAAATTGTCGAGTTCACTAACAATTTTGCATTACTTGAAAATTACTTCAGATAATTTTTAATTTCAGAAACAAATTTCAATTTATAGTTTTTTCCGGAAATTTTCAAAAAATTGCAAGATTTTTCGACATTTCAAAAGCTTCTATTTTTTTTTTCGTTAAATGAGATATTATGAAATTAGTTTTAAAAGCCTGCAAGTTTTGTTTAACTCAAAAACGTAATCTTTGGAAGTGTCAGAAATTTTTGTAATCGTTCGAAATTCAAAAAAACTCTGGCGTATTTTGTTAAATACTTCATTGCCTTTTTTTTCCAGAGAATGGCTGTTTTCAACTTTGTGAAAATCGAGAACGACCACGTCAAGTGCGAGAGCTGCACAGCCACTCTAGACAGTCGCGGCACGGCAGGCGTAGTGCGCCACAGGGTGCTGCGGCACATCCGCAGCACGGCGCACCGGGCCTTGAACGAAGTCCACAGAGTAACTTCATCGTTTTCGTAGCATTGCTACAGGACATTTTTAGATAAAGCTGGATGGTAACGATTGGTTTACGACGCCGGCTCGGACGAAAGAAACCTGGCAGCCGTGGCCGAGCAATTGGTCACGGCTTCCAGGTGCTCTATCTGCTATTTGACTATATGTGAGTGAAATGACGGAAAACTAATTAGGATGAGTTTTTTTTTCAGTACCAGTCACGTTTCTAGAGCCCTGTGGCCACGTCTTGTGTGAAGAGTGCCACAGGCGCCTGCAGGCCGTCAGCAACGCCTGCCCGGTCTGCAGGCGCATTTTCAATGGCGTTTCGACCAACCGCGTCATTAACC